AGCACAGCCAAGGTGTTGGGGTCTCCAAGATAGAACTTCAGAATGATATCCACCTCACCTGGTAAAACTGAGAAAAATGATGTGAGTAGCTGGTACTGTAAGAGAAAGACTTTAACTTTTATATATCACTTGGGATAATACAAGGTGCATTTGCCTAAAGCAGATGAGTCTAAGAGATAAGTCCCCCAAATGCTCATGTAAAGGAGCAATCTAGTACTGGTGACCCTAATCCAAAATTACAAGTAGTGTCAAGACCATGAAGGTGAGGCATAAAAGGCAGTAAAGATAGAGTGTGTCCAGTATGGTGCTCCAGCAGAGAGAAAAAGTATAGACTAGCAGTGATCTTAGTCCCCGCCCCCCACCAGAGCCTTTGTTTCAATCCACAGAGATGGGAAGAGGAAGCTAAGCCCAATCAGGACTAGACAAAGACAAAATAGTGGGCAAAGAATATTGCATAAGGCTTGAAGAAAAGCAAATGAAGAACAGAAGATGACTAAGAGAGGAAAAACCAAAGATTAAATCCATAAAAATAGGATTGGATAGAAATGACTCAATCGTCTAAAAGATATCATAACTATGTGGCAGAAAACCAGGTCAAATAGTCCTCAGGTTATGAAAATTCAGAGAGTATAATAGTCTTACAAAACATATCACCCCATGGTAGTTATTTAACTGTGTAAAAGTCAGAAATAACTGCAAGAAAATACCATATTCCAAAGATATTCAATTTTATTTCCATTATTTATATTTGTGTTTGTGCATAGAAGTTAATGCAGTTAAAAATATTAAATAACATGAATACATGAATAAAATACATAACTCAAATATACTTATGAATAAACATGTAAATTATTTGGAACATCATGTCTGATACAAGTTTCTTCATAACCATAAGGATATTGTTACCTCCAAAGACACTGAGTTCAGAGAAATTTAATAATTGGTTTACAGTTATCAATTCAAACCAGTTAAAAGGTCAGACCAGATTCCCATTCCATCCCAGGAGTCTTGTTTGATGAAATACAGAGTTGCATTCCTCCAGCAATAGTTGTGCATTTCATGGTATTTCTACACAAAACACTGTTCTTCAATAAGGACTACAATCCATTGGCTAAGGGTCACCTAATTCTTTTCCTGACTTTTTTATCCCATTCACTCAGATCTCGCTCTTTTCATTCATTATCTCGCTTATCCTAGAGTGTCAAATCACAAGAAAAATGTTTAAAAATAGGTTTTAAAACCGTCCCGATTCTGCCCTGCTCTCTCTCCCTTGGGCTGCAGATGTACATAGCGTTTAAACTACATCCACTGGGTCTGCCCCACCCTGTGCCCTGGTGCATTATGTCACTTCTCATGAACCAGACACAAGCCATCACTGCTATGTTCCTGAATGCAACAGCTCCTAGCTGTTGTTTAAGAGACACAAACTTTGCTAAGGTTTAAGGCTCTACCTCACTTCCTCAACTATAACTTCCTCTAACAGGCTCCATTTCTGCTTTAACTGTGGTGCTAAGATCCAGCCAAGCAGCCTTGTGTCCTTCACTATTCTGAGTGCATCCAATATGCCTTCCCAAATGGCAGCTGGTACCTGAGTTCTTAGAACTTCAAGTCTTTATTTCCTTTTAACTAACAATTCCCTATCCTTAAAGTCTTACATCAACGATCTCCTATTTTTAACAAAATTATAGCCACATTCTACCTGACTGAATGGAATTCCCACTGGAATTATACCCTAAACTTGATAGTACTTGGTACTTGGTAGTTCTGGTAGCCTCCTAACCCATGGTTAGCCACAGCATAGCCCCAGCTTCCCAACCACCTCAACAGTAGAGAGACAACTAAACACATAGTACCTTGTGCTACCTAAATTGATATCAGTAGTTGTTCCCAATTATGAACACTACTAAAAAGAATGCCAAAGATATCAGATTTCCCTGGAGCTTGAGTTACAAGGTGTTGCGAACTACCACTGCCATGGGTTCTGGGGATTGAATTTGGTTCCACTATAAGAGCAATGAGTGCTCTTAACTATGAGTCACCTCTCTAGTCCCCTATTTTATTTTTATTATATTTATGGGGGGTGTTCTGCACCCATGAGAACAACACTGAACTATCTATCGTGTGTGTGTGTGTGTGTGTGTGTGTGTGTGTGTGTGTGTGTTATTCAAGACAGGGTTTCTTTGTGTAGCTCTGGCTATTCTGGAACTCAGTCTGTAGACCAGACGAGCCTCAAGCTCACAGAGATACACCTGTCTCTGCCTCAAGAGTGCTGGGATTAAAGGCATGTGCTATATACCTTCATTTTCAGTGTTACATTTCAAAAGTAACTCAAAAATCTTTTTAGCAAGTGAATGTTTTATTTGAAGCATGTCATTGCTGTTCATGGTTCTTATCCAGCTTTAGAAATACCAAGCTAAAGTTTGTTTTCATACAAGGAAACATGCTGCTGTTCTCACAGACATACTTTACCAAAATTAGTTTATCCCACAATAAACCATCACATCCCTAGGAATAGTCACTAGCCAGATCTGTAAGCTGGAGAAGTAAGACATAGATTCAGGTGCCACTGGCAAAAACATACTTGTGGTAGTGTGGACATTTTTCAACCAGCTTAAATTAAAATAAGTACAGTTCTTATGATTCATAGTGTAAGAATCCTAACTGACTATGCTCTAAAAGGGCACAGTGTGCATAACGCAGATGTTTTGAGGTTAGGCCAAAACTGCTATCCTTGCTTGACCTTTGGAGCCTCAAATCAGTAACAGGCCTCAGCTACATGAAGATAATTAAACTGATCTTACAGTCACAAATACTCAACAACCATAAAACCAGGCTACCTATTTATCTTTCTACAAATCCACCAATACATCTATCTGTCTATGCATAACAACATTATACATATCAATAAATTAGTATGCGTGAGCACTCACTTCTTGTCAGATACCACCTGAAATATTTCACACATATTAAACTTCACAATTCTATAGAAGGCTGCTACCGTTAAGATGTCCATGGGGGGTGGGGGATGGAGAAATGAATCTACAGTTGAAAGCAATTTTTTTTCTTTACTTTTGCAGAAGACCTTGGTTGGTCCCCTGTACGCAAATGATAGCTCACAACAATCTATAACTGTGTTCCCAAGGATTGGACACCTGCCTCTGAGCTGTACAGGAACCAGACACACATGTAGTATATACATGGATACATTCAGGGAAAATTTTGTATACATAAAATAAATGGTTTCTAGAGATTTCTATTCTTCAGATGAAGAAATGAAGGCGTAGGTATTTAAGTAACTGTCTGAGTTCGAATAGCCAGGTGGATTAGGATTTGAAGTGTCAAATTTTCTGACAGATTCTATCCCCCAACTAGTCTGGAGTGTAGGGGGGGGCGGGATTTGTTTTCCTTAAAATGGGAAATCTCAGTGGCCGCCGCCCGTCAATGTACATTCTTCTACAAGTGAGAGTGTCAGAAGGGTATATGTATTCCACTGGGCTGTGAAAAACAGATATATTTTGCCTTCTATGGAAAAGTCCTGCACTTAGTATCAAGAAGGAAGAAATCCAGTGACTAAGATGTTGTAAGTAAACAACCAGTCCCTCCAAGGAAGGAGAAAGGACTCCAAAGCCCATAGCATCACAAAGCCAGATTCACAGCAAGGCACCAGCCAAGGCCCTTTGTAGGAAAGCTTATGGGGTGGCACCCAGCCATCATTGCTGGCTTTACTGGCTAAACACTGCATCCCACCACTTTATTTTCTAATCAAATAGTAACACCAAAAACCCTGCAAATGTTGCTCAAAATTCATACCATCGTGAAGGTCTTGCCAGAGAGACTGGGTGACAGCTGCATTTGGAATAAAATAGCAGATAAAACATCACTTTCATTCCAAGGAGTCACCCCTAACAACTCAAGCTTGAAACTAATGTCTTTAAAATAACAAGGGTTGAGTCAGGGGCCTTGCAAGGCTTCACAAACTAACCACCTATGCCCCTCTGAGTTACCTCTAGGATTATTTTTTTCTGAATCATAGAGCCTAAATATTAGAGCTGTCCTGATGGCCTCTTGGGCCCAGGTACTAAGGAAAAGCATTGTTGTTATAAGTTTGGTTTTTATGTCTTGATGTTATTGTTGGACATCTTAGTCTTAGCAGCCTCCAGGGTAAAATAACTTGCTTTGTTTTCCTACTAATCAGCCAAACCCTGCTTGGCACACATCATGTTGACTTTTGCTAGTAGAGTTCCTGCGTTGGTAACAGTAAATTAACTGAGGCTCCTAGCCACCATTAAAAGACACAGTTCTGTGAAACTGTTAAAGAAGTTAAGGGTTCTGACCCTTCCCAGTATCAGAGCTTGAGTTATGCTTTCAAGTGTGCAAGCGAAACAAACAAACATGCTTTCACTCCATGCTTATGAGATAGCACATTTCACTGCAGCTCACAATTCCAAGCAGTTAAAATGAAAGGCTTTTTATTCCTTTCCCTGCAGTGATTTTAGAAGTGTATCTGTTTCTATGAAGAACCCCTGAGAGTCAAAAGGGAAAATCAAACTCAAAGATACTGCCTCCTTGATTTTGAGGAAAATAGAACTCCACCGTATTTCCTATAAAATGAGGAACATAATTTTCAAATATGATTGACATGTCCAATACGGATCAGGGAGACCCTCAAGGTAACACCATCTGTGAGGCTCTGAAGAGTCTAGCTCATGATGAGGAGCCACAGGAGAGGCAGGTGAAATGTATGAGGTCAATGGTGTGTGTGTGTGTGTGTGTGTGTGTGTGTGTGTGTGTGTGTGTGTGTGTGAGTGTGTGTGAGTGTATGTGTACATATACGTTTATAATTTCCATTTAAATGAGGTCCAATGAGGAGGAGAAATACTGTAATAAATAATGCCGAAATTGCATAGAAGTATGGCCTTCTCTGATTGCAATTACTTAACTCAGAGCCTGATTGGAGGCAGGTAGCCCCCCCCAACCCCCCACAGGGAATAGCACCTTACCTGCGCAGGTTTTCCCATCGTAGGTCTCGCACACCCACTCGTGACACTCACAAAGTGGTCCAAAATAGGTGCCAGGTTCAGTCACTTGACAGATGCAGACCCCGCACTCGCAACGGCCACGGTCATGGCACAGCGCGCCCCCTGGGGGTTGCCCAGGTGCACGACATCTGCGCTCAGACTCGGCCCTGGAAAGCCTGCAGGGGGCGCCAGACGAGCTCCTGCATGAGATAAGAAAGACAACAGCTAGCTAGGCCATGGTCAGACACAAGCCCCGCCTCTTCTTCTCCCAGCCCACTCTCCCCCTCCGATCTGTGGAAAAGAAGCCTCCCGCCTCATTTTTCTGCGGGCCAAGCATGCCTCTGAAGGGCTGTGTTTTAACCATGACTGGAAATAGCGCCTTCCAAGTAGACAGAGGTGATGGCCCCTTGCTCCTTGGCGGATTGCCACTTAATCTTAAATGCACATTTTGATTAAATGCAAATTAGTATGAAGTATGATACTTGGCTGGCTTTTTGTTTCTTCTGGTAGCTACAAAAGAGATGAATGACAAATGTGTAGGAAAAGTTTTATGTATCATGTATAAAGTAGGAAGAAATGCTTTTAAATTGTGTTTGAAGCAGACCTTAAGAACTCTACTTTTAATAAAAAGTTGAAATGGAACTCGTTGTCGATTTCAAAATGCAAATAAAGATGTGCCAGGGCCATCAAGCATATTAGAAATAAAGCTGCCATACAGGCTACGGGGTTACAGAGGTATGCGTAAGTAAATCTTTTACTTGAGGTAAAAATAAATCTACCCTCCCTTGCACGTATTTGCAGAGGGAAAAATGATGTTTCATTCAATGAGCATTTTTTGGAGGCTAGATAAGGGGTAACAGGTTGAAAACAGTTTATCGCAGGTCCGATTTAGTAACTGCTCTTGGCTTAGGCGAAGTCAGTCATTTGCAAGCTTGAGTTCTGCCACGTACAACGCAGCAGGTCTGTCTCAAAGAATAATAAACCAAACTTACCTCAGAGAGGGAGAGAAGCTTTGGGGAACAGCTGACAGCCCAACGAAGAGAAGGGAGGATAGCAGCAACAAGAAGTTCCTGAAACCGGGAAGATGCATGCTGAGCTTGCAGGCAGGAGGGCAGGCCAGCTACTCTGCCTGCCTCAAGGTGGGGCTTTCACAGCAGGCAACTGGAGGGAGAGGTATCACCAGCAGATGTCCAGGCAGAAAGTACTTGGGACACCCCCAACTCGCAAGTTCTGGGCTCCTCCTGGAGGCTCAGTTGCCTGCAAGGACTTGGGCAGTGGAACCGCTCTGGGCGGGGTGCTAGAGCCAAACCCCTCCAGTGGAGAGTCTAGGCAGGGAAGTAATTAGAAACAGTTGTACAAGCAGATGGTTTATTTTGACATTTTAAAAAAAGTGTCCTATTCACAGATTTGGAAAAAAAAAATCACGTCTTTCTTCAAGTACAGGCCCCAAAAATATTTAACAAGAGGATATTTGGGATAGTTGATAGGAAAAGGCACCCTTAAAATAATTCCTGAATTGTGAAAGTTACGAGGAGTATGGGTGAACACAGCAGGGAATTGCTTTCACCAGCTCTAAAAAAGATGCCCAACGGCCGGAGAGATGCAGGGAACAAAGCTACTAAACACAGTTCTGTGTATTTATTAAGTTTTGTTTTCAACCATGGTGTTTTATTCCTTCTGTTTCTAAAAACTACATTTTCTTCCAGTTATTCAAGCCAGTTTCTTATCACAGACACATTTTTTTTTTCTTGACTTGGGTAGTCCAAATTATGGTTGTTCCAAATCTACTCCATTCTCTTCTGCGATTTCAGTATGGAGAAAATATAAAATATCGGTTTACAGTGTGATTTGCAGTAAAAAGAAAACAATCAGTGGCATTTCCTAGACACCTACTCAGTGCCAGGCTCTAATACTAATTCTGATTGTGAGAAAAATCACACATTGTTTTCTAATTACACTTCTATCAGACACCAGTGTTTCTGCCAGATGTAAGAAACATACACACTTTCTGGAAAGTCAGAGGACTGGTAAGCTGTCAATCAAAACAAAAAACGTCAATTCCAAAGGACCAGGGATTGCAATGGAAAGTTACTTCCTGATTAGACACAGGTGCCAATCACATCTAAGAGGGCAAGAGTTGAGCTGAAGGTTGAAGGAAGAGGAACTAACCTCAATAATAACATTGGGGTGAAATAGACTAGAGATGTAATTTTACCAATGGAATCGAATCGAAAATCCTGATAGTAACCCACAAACCAACAAACACCTGATTTTTGACAAAGCAGCTAAAAGTATACAATGGGGGGAGGACATCATCTTCAACAAATGGTGCTGGCATAACTGGATGATGGTGTGTAGAAGACTGCAGATAGACCCATGTCTATCACCACGCACAAAACTCACGTCCAAATGGATCAAAGACCTGAACATAAATCCAGCCACACTTTCTCTTAGAAGAGAAAGTGGGAGGTATCCTTAAACAAATTGGTATAGGAGACCGCTTCCTGAACGTAACTCCAATAGCACAGACACTGAGAGAAAGAATTAATAAATGGGACCCCCTCAAACTTAGAAGCTTCTGTAAAGCAAAGGATACAGTTGACAAGACCAAACAGCAGCCCACAGACTGGAAAAAGATTTTCACCAATCCTACTTTAAAAAAAACAAAAAGACGAAATCAAAGAAATTAATTTACTCCCTGAAACAGTGAAGTTACAGTGGTATTTCAGCTGAAAACTGGGGGACCCCAATAGTTCACACATGGTTACCCACATTGTATGGCCAGTTGGGGAAGTATGTTAATGGAGGAAAGTGTAGTGAGATAGTCCTTCTGTGGCATTGACCATGCCCATTGAGGGGGTGGAGCCATGGGCAGAAGTGAGCTGTGGAAGGAGGTTGGAGTAAGAGCTGGGAAAAGCTCTCTTGATGGCGGGACTCAGACAGGAGAGCATCCAGTGGAACTTGCTGGTGTTCATCTGTCTAGGTTGTAAGTTATTTCTCCCTGAATAAACATCTATTCTGCCTATTTGTTTATCCTGATCCTTATTTAACCGCAATACTGAGATGATACAAACTGTGGCCATGGCATTCCTCAGCAAGCACTAGAGAATTGTCATAAACATGATCAGCAAATGCAAGACTTCCCTCTAAATGATCAATGCACCTTGATAAAAATCAGTAGTTTGAGCTGGGCATTGGTCACAGCACTAGGTAGGCAGAGGCAAGTGAATGGATCTCTGTGAGTTCAAGGCCAGTCTGGTATACAGAGCGAGTTCCAGGACAGGCTCTGAAACAATACAGAGAAACACTGTCTTACCCTCTCTCCCTCCCTCACGTGCACCCTGACCCATCCCTCCCCCCACTCCACATGTAGGGCAATGCCATCCAGGTGGGGTCATGTAAATCTGCCAAGTCATTTAAAGTAGGGACTAGGACTTCTCTCCTGTCTCTAGGTTAAGATAGTATCCCTCCCTGGGGGATGTGTCTGCAAGGTCCTTTTGTGCACCAGGGATACATCCTGGTTCTACTGTCTGAGGTCCCTTAGACTGCTCAGTCCTTCTGGCTGAGACCCATATTCAGGGGGGGCCTGAGTCAGTCCAATGCTGGATTCCTAGCTATCAGTCTGGGGGGGGGGGCGTCTGTTAGCTCCTCCTTGTTCAGGTCAGCTGTCTCTATGTGTTTCTGCAACCTGGTCTCCCCCAAATCCACACCTCCTCCATTTCCCTTCAAAAAAAAAAAAAAAAAAAAAAAAAAAAAAAAGCAGGCCTCCCAAGGATACCAACTGAACATGGCCTAACCCATTAAAATAAGACTAGACACAAACCCGGTGAGGCAATCCTGTGAGAGGCAAAGGGTCTGAAGGGAAGAGTCTGAGACATGCCCAGTCCTACTGTTAGAATTCACACAAGAACGTCAAGCTTCACAATTGTAACATATATGCAGAAGACCTAGCTCAGATGCACACAGGTTCTGTGATTGTTGCTTCAGTTTCTGTGAGTCCCTGGAGTCCAGTTTAAAGTTTTAACAGCACCAACTGAACCTCATATGCACATGCAGCATAAGGAATCTTTCCTATCACTAAGTTCAAAGCTGATAAAAAGAATCTTGATCTCTCAAAGGCTACTTGGAAAATATTTTTAACTTGAAGGCACCTTTCAAATTTTCAAGCAGTGCACTGTACACAAGCGCATTCAGAAAGGCTAAATATTCCCAAGAAGCAATAAAAACAAACTTGCAATTCCAAGAAAAAGTAGAACTTTGTACCAGGCCAGAGCTGTGGAATAAAAAAGGTGTGTGGTTAATATCTTTTCCAGATGTGAGCCCAAGACCAGAGGGCATTTTTCCCCTCCCACATGGGAAAAACACCTGGAAATATTAGTAATCATTAGGACAAGAAATATTCTTCTACTCTTGTGAGTACTTTTACAGTTCTACTTTATGCTGAAGGAAGATTTTACGGAAAAGAATCTAAAAGTCATTTTTTTCTAATTTCATATAGTAATAAAAGGAGTCTATCACTTAAATGTGTTTTTTATCCCAAATAATAGGTTTTTATTTCTTGGCTGATAAAAGCTGCTCAACCAGGATCAGGTAAAGAGTAGACAGGGGACTGTTTACCCAGTGATGGAGGCTGGTGCAGGATATTTACCTAACAGGCTATGACTTTGCCAAGTCTCCTTCACTCACTGGATCTTGGCTCCCACAATAGCAGGATGAAAGGAGTCTTAGTTCATTCTAATGCTAAACTTCTGTGATTACAATGTACAGTTAAAAGTGGTGGGGATAGTACAGATAAATAAGAGTAATGGAAAGTCACTAGAAGCTTAAAAGGTAGAGGTAGTATTTAGTCTACTGGCTGTAGGTATCATATAGACTAACCCTTTTATAAGTTCCCAGAAGTAAAACAGTTACCCATTCATGTCTATTTTTCTTTAAACTCTGAGCCAAGGCTTTCCGCACTATTGAGCTTCATCCACTAAAGCTACATTCAGGAAATGCAACCCTCAAGTCCTTCACTTTGTAACTCTTCTGGGGTTTTTTTATACAGAGTGTACCACACGCTGCCATGGTTGACACCTTCCATTAGCTGTTGTTTTGGAGTTTCTACTATTAATTCAGTTATGACTAAGATCCATTCTATGCAAATCAGCATGTATAATGGCAAGTTATATTGCAGAGCAAACAACCAGGAAGGTCGTATATTATTGCCTCTCAGGCTGTCCTAATCATATATTCTGTCTGAGATACCAGTCGAAGTTGAGAATATTAAACATCTGTAAGAGTCTACTTCCAAACATTCCTACATGAAATACATGTGCTATAAACTAAAAAAAAAAAAAAAAAAAAAAAAAAAAGCCAGTTCAGAGATATTTTGTATTTTCTAAGCTTAGACAGAATGTGTTTGGCTAGACAGCATTGCCATAGACACTGTCTCATTGAGAAGATTGCTAGCAAAATTTCACACAAGTTTTCATTTAATTTCATTTCATTAATAACAAGATTATAGCTTCTTCTTTCTCCTTCTGCTTCTCTAAAGTGGGCAATACCACCAATCACATTCACTTTCCAAGTTTTGGCTCAAATATAATACTTAATAATGGCAGATAAATAGCCTAGAAAACAAAATTGGCAATAATGATCTAGCAAGTCACAAAGGAATCATTGTACATAAACTCAATTTCTTCTGTTGGAACAGAATTGGCTTTAGGTCCACTGATGGAAGGAAATTGCATTCCGAGTCTGGTCCTTCTCAATTTCAGTTGCTTCTTTCTTCTATCTCATCTCTTGTTTCAGACAACTGCTCTCCTTCAGTTGAATGTGAGCATTGAATCTTGTCTATTCCTTTCCTTTGGCAACATGTATTTGACTGAAATAATTCACTTGTTTTGGTTATAAAACTATTTATAAATTTTAAAATTGGCATGCAATCCAAAGCTGTTGTCTAGAACAGGTGTCTAAAGCCAAAGAGAAATGACCACAAACCAAAAGAATGTTTCTCACCAACTATGACATTTCTCAGGATCACAAGGGTGGTTTCTATTCTATTCCTACCATCGCCAACACTGTCTCCCCATGACTTTATATGTTTAAACTTGCATTTATTCGTGTGTGG